AATTGAAAATAAAAATTAACATTTTGCGTTCTAAAATATAATTAATATAGTATTTGATATTTCATTATTATTGTATGTGCATTTTTGTATAAGCATAAAAATTGATGGTAATCCAGTTACTTAATAAATATAAATATATATATAAAAAAAAAAAAGATTTTTATCTCGAGAATTTTTATTCCTCCATTTGTATAATCCCATTCAAAAGAAAAAGAAAACTTTTGTCTTAAAAGTTTTCACTTCTATATCTGTTTTGAACGTAACTTTGATTTTTACTTTGATTTCTAAATGTGTTTTGATAAGATATTTTTTTGTTTTTACTTTTTAAGGTAAAAAAGTTTATGTTACGAACAAAATGAATAATTTCTTGTTTTGAAAATCATTTATGTATCTTTTATAAGTAAACATTTTAAACCTAGTCAAATATACATCTCTTAATTCAATTCTTCTTCGTGTCCGTCTATACCACAAAGCTAGTCGATGTCGCTGTAATGGTTGAAAATAGTAGTCCAACCAATGTCAATTTATTCAATATTTTGGCATTATGTACGTAATTTCATAAGACTTTTATATATATTCTTTAACAATTTTATTTTTTCTTTTAACATTATCAATTACCTTACTTTAAAATTATTACGCATATCATTCATTTCATACATAAAACATGCAACGCACGAGTTTCTAACAAGTGAATTTATAACATACAAGAATTTATATGAATGAATTACTATCCAAGAAATTGACACTTGATAGCTGGCAAGGAAAGGAAAGAAATCGTATGAACCGATACACAGGTTTTGACAGGCTAGAAAATCCACGGCTAAGAAAATAACAGATCAACAAAAGTCCAGCTTAATAAATTTACACAAATATTGAGGAGATCAGAAAGAAGCATATTTCATATCAAACAAACGAGTACGTAACAACAAATAATAAACTACTACAAGCGTAGAACAATACATTTAGACAAGGCATCAAATTGTCATAAAACCACACACATTTGACGAATTTCCATCTCAGAGAA